GTCTCAAGGAAGCTCGGAGTGCTTCGTTTGAAGGTTTTGGACGTCGGGATCGTGTGGACGAAGTTTGGCCGGTTTTTCTTAGAATTCACCGGTGAGATCCCATGACTTTTAGAGCTTTAAAATGGTATAACGTAATTGTAGATGTTCCTAGCTTCATTTTGGTACCAATTGCATGAAAAATGGTTGAGAAACGAAGGAGAATAGTGAGTTTGAAGTTTTGCCCAATTTCCGGCGCCGACAACGGTCGCCGGAGCTGGAGGTAGGAGATGGGAGAATATTTCGTCAAGTTTGACGGAATATTCTCACGCTGTCAGTCAAATATAACAGAATCTGTTAGGTTTAACGGAATATTCCCTAACGGTGGTTAGGGAATCTGTCAGGTTTGGGCTGCGCGTGGGGGCGCGTTTTGCCGTGCCCTTGAGGGCGCGTGGGAGGTCAAAAATAATTCTAAAAATATGGGAATGATTATGAGGTTGTGTAGATCACTGTGGTATATTCATATACCCAAATTGAGCAATGTATGAGAAGTTATTAGCTAGTTTGTATATGTGCTTTAAAATAACGTTTTTATAGTTAATTCGCATATAGGTGAGACTTATTCCAAGGACGAGCGTATCCACGAATGATTCGGGGGTTACGACCCGTCGACTTATCAGTGAGTGGGCTTTTGTTTTCAGTATATAATTATATACTTGATAAATTTCCCAGAAATGTGTTTTAAATGAAAGTATGCTTTGAAATAATATGCCAAATGCCTTTATATTCTGAATATGCATTTCATGGTTGCATATATATATATATAATTGTGGTGCTGTGGAGGCACAGGTAAGTATAGGTAAGTTATGTTTGGTCTAGGTGAACTACGAACGGCTTGATCCCTGTTTAGGGTACGTAGGCAGTCTAACGAGAGGTTAGGTGCAGTCATTCAATAAATGAGATGAACATGTTGATTTTCTATATGAGATATGATTGAGAAACGATGAGCTCATAAACCTGCACCCCGGGTGATTGCGATTTAGCCAGAGAGAATTGGCACAGGTCTGTATATTATGTCACATTCCGCACCATATGCTCACATTGGATCCAATTTAGGTGCACAGTCTTGTCGTACAGACCACTATAAGTGGTTCCAACTCGTAGGTGACTAACGTATTATCGCACAGCTAGCATTGAGAGAGTGGAATTGAGCATAATTATATTACACCCAACCTTGTCGTACAGACCCTTTTCAGTGGTTCCGACTTATGTGCAGTATATTGCCGTATAGGTCATAGTTGTGACTCCAGCTAGATTGAGTTTGAGCTATGAATTCAACCGTACAGACTACCACAGGAGTTCCGGCTAACATATTACATTTCTATGAAATTATTCTTACCTGAATTGTTTACTCTATTATATCTTGGCATGGCATATATACTTATGAATATGATTATGTGAAGCATGAACTGAACTGATATGTTTTCAGATATATGTGTATATGCTTACATCTTGATTCTAGGAAAATAATACATGTTTTACAGCGAGGGGTTAGTTATGTTAATAAATGAAATGGTTTTGTAATTTGTTTTTGCCCACTCACGTTTTCTGTTTTGCGCCCCTCCAGGTTCTAAGTAAGATTGTTGTTGGTGGCTCGAGATCTGCGGCAGTTCTGACCTATTTGAATAATAGTGGGACATTCCTGGTACTGTGTAACGAGTACTTGTCCTACTGGATTGGACCTAGAATTTATGCTCTGATTAGGGGTGTTACGGTTGTAACTAACTCTTATCACTTTCTGTTTAGTAGTGCACACTAGTAAATTTGGTTTTCAACTATTCGTGTATTTGCTATCTTTATCGCTTCCGTACTGTGCACATGGTTACGTCACTCTCACATGACGGCCAGCATGCCTTGACCTCGGTCAGGGTGTGTCATTTTGCATATGTTGGAGTTTGTTTATAATGTCGGTAAATTATTTATCATGTATTTTGCATAGATAGGGTAAATTATTTTGAGCAATCTAACATTTTAAAATTTTAATAGTCGGTGCACTATTTGAATCAAATAACATTTTTTTAGGTAAATTATTTTGCATGCAATTTTACATATATTAGTCATTTTTTATATATATGTGTGTGAAATAATTTACCTACATTAATATGTAAAATATAATTTTAGTGACTTAATTAAGCATGTCAATATATTAGACATGTTATATTGTTATTATATATTAGACAATGAATTTATAACAAATTTTTTTTTAGTAAAATTATTAATTCTCCCTTATAATTCGCATGGCATTAATTGTGTACATCAAATATTCAAATAGGAGTATTTTAGGCATTCAGAAAATTTTAAATGTGTTAAGTCAAACATAATTAATGAATTTTCTGATGTGGAATCTAGTAAATGTGTTTTATTTATGTAAAAAACTTATGTCGGATTTTATGTGAAGAAAATTAAATTTTAGGGGCTAAAGTTATATTTTCAGTAGAAAAATGACTTTAATCACTCCATAATTGAAACAGAACTACTATTATTGAAAAGAAATGTGTGGGCTAGGACCCAACCAACATAAGTAAAACTGAAAATGAATTACACTTAATGTGAGAGAAAACAACAAATTAGCAAGATTCAAGCCATGTAAGGCAGGCTAATGCAGAAAGAAGAAACCAACTATACATAATGTTGGGCAGAGTCAAGTAAGAGATATTGGGCCTCAAAGAGCTGAGCGTAAGGTTGGAGCTAGGATTCAAAGTCCCCCCGTGGGGAGCAAATCATTTAACTTCTAAAATATTGAACAAAATGAAAATATGAAAAAACTTATTATATTTGTTGTAAATAGTGTTACTTTAGGAATGTGATTAGGGCTGATTTCAGTTCGGGGATCGAATCAAAAGCCCAAGCCCGAACTCGAAAGAATCGGCTACCAAATTCCTATGAGTAACTAAACTCTTTTCTAGGGATAGGATGATGCCCAAGCATGAATACTTATGGTTTTTATTGACTATTTGATGGATATTTAGTTTTTATCGGATGAATTCTTATTCATTATAAGAATTGAATGCTTTATGTTTAAGTTCTCTGACTGGTCACCTTAGGGCTTTGCATATATTTGAAGATGAATTTGAGGTGTAACTATAGTTATGATTTGAATTAGATTCTTGTGAATAAGGTTTGTGAATTACATAGATGTTGTAACAAGATTTATGATTTGCATGATTTTCTCGTTCTCTTGTATGTAATGAGTTCTACATGTTAAATTTATACCTTAACTGGATAGATTGCATGTTCGAATATATGACATTTGCCCTAACCAAAGAGAATTATATAGTTAAGGATAACTATGGCCTATAGTGCCTTAATCGGACTTAGATACGGAAAATTGTCATTTAAGAGATTAAATATTCCGTTGAAAGCATTGAAACCTAAACCAGAGTGTTTGTGGTTGATTATGAATTCCTAGACTTTTATTCCTTGCCTTAAAACCTAACGTTTTCTTCTTTTTATTCTCTATTTTTGCTTTTTTTTTTCTTTTTAATTTGCTTATAAAACCATCGCGACAAACTCTTCACAACTTGAATTGAATTGTTAAAGATTGAAAATAGTTTATTTTTTGCGTTTTATATTTTTGAAATTTTGTGTTTTTAAATAATTAGATCTGGTTTAGTTTATCAATTGGAGATTGAATTAGAATTTTCGTTAAAATGATACTTGGAGTTGCGAAACACTATACCATGACTATCTTGTGCACTTGCGTTTAAACCAAAATCGCATAAGACACAATTGTTGATACTTTTGCCATACTGTGTGCATTTACGTTAAAAGGAAAAAAATAAAACAAAAAAGAATGATGCTTCACAGCCAAGACGGATGGTAAAAGCTAAAATGCACGGGCATTTGTTTATCCAATTCCAACCCATTACATCTTAAGTTAACAAACGATATAATCAATCCGACCTCCCACCAAACCACTTGGAATGAAACGACGATTGGTAAGATACCAACACCAGAAGCAGCACCAACAAGACAGCAACACCCCACGGCGAGCTTGAACCGCCGCCAACTCGGTGAACCGACTCGTGCTCCCGACGCCGGACCCCGAAGTTGAACCATCCACTAGAAGAAATCGAAGAATACGAAGCTACCAAAAATACCAACAAAATAGGCAACGATATTAGGAAGATCTGGAAGTTGATGGCTGTGTGTTGCATTTGGGACTTGTAGTCAGTGTACTGAGAGAGCCATAACAAAGCAATGACAATGGCAAAGATGGTGAGTAAATGTGGGGGAGGTGCAGAGATTGAGGTTAGGGTTTGGCCAGTCCAACTTTGCTTCAGCTGTGGGCGCCTCCTCTTAGGGTAGAACCACTCCATATTTGTCTTCTCAGGTGCCCTTGCACGCTAGGCTTCGTGTATATATAAGAAGTAAATGGGGTAGTGTGGGTTGTTTAGCTTGAGTTATACAGTATGTTGTGGCTTTGGCATATATGCTTTGAGTGTATGCTTTATTTCTGACAAACTTTTACTTTGAACAAATGCTCTCTCTAGATGATTTGATTGCAAATTGGTTTCTTAATCAAGGATGAATCCGTGCAAGTAATTGTCACTAATCATGTGATAGATTTGATACCTAATTGGTTTAGATGTCCACTGTTTTGTTTGACAAACAACAGGACGATATTCTATCATTGTGGGGGATCGAACTTAAGTGCAGAGTCAACGCTGCTTTAGTCAACTTAATTAAGCTCATGTTTAAGCTCATGTTTGTAGATGTCATTAGTTGCTCTTATATTGAGAAATTTTCGGTGTCTCACGTCACCGCATAATTTTCAGTGCGACTCGCGTCGCCGTACGATGTTCACCAATCTAGTCTTCTGTTATAACACAAATATCTATTTTTCATTACCAGACCCTACGTCCACAAAATATCAATCATTTTTTAGCTTGAAATTTGTCAAAGAAATTATTTGTTTTACAATATTCATTTACCATATTACTTACGTGAGATGAGAAATGAGATTAGGGCAGGAAAGAGAAGACCCCAAAATGTGGATTTAATTATGAAAGGACCATTTTGTTCAAAATGTTCGTGCCACAGAAAATAAAATGACCTGTATTTGCTCTCTAATGTCCACCAGACAATAAGTGGCCCATGGAAAATGGATAGAAGATATTTTTCCATCTTTATGAAGGGGGGAAAACTTCCAAAACGACCCGAAAAAAAATGAGAAAAAGAAAAATGAAATTTCCTTATGATAAACTAGCTCATACATTTGTTACAACATGCTTCGATCTCAAGGTACCTTCGCATCGGCCCTTTATTTGATCTTGGAACCACCATAATCAAGCAGCAACTTTCTTGGCTGTCACAGAGTTGACGATAGTAGCGAATTCAGGACCCTAGATGAAGAAAACTCAACTTGTTAGTACCAACTACAATGGAAAACAAACAGAAATGGTTCTAAACCACATAATGCTTTAACGGTTTTATGTTCGAAATATCAAGGCAAATAATTGCAGTAGCATACCTTTAAGGATGCACCGCCAACAAGAAAACCATCAATATCTTCCTTCTTCGCGAGCTCAGCAGAATTGCCTCCATTTACAGACCCTGTTATCATATCCAGATTTAGTTTAATTTACTACAACACTTGGATATTCATTCAGAGCCAAGACGAGAATATCCCAACCAGCTGACTGACGAGCAGAATCATTATGTCCACATGTTTTGATACTTACCACAAGGACCCGTTTGAATGTTTCCTAAATTTCTTACATCTTACAGTTAAATCCATAGATGATGCCCTTATAGCCAAGCCAAAGATCACAAATATTCAGAGTCTATAGTCACATATTTACATGACCTGGCCCCTCTTGAACTACATTCGGAAATCTTCAGAGTTAACATTTTTAATAAACGGACAATCAATCAGAAAGTTGCAGGAAAAAAGTTACCTCCATAAATAATTCTTGTTTTAGATGCAACTTCTGCTGACACGTTCTGTTTCAGCCAATCGCGAACAGCTACATGTACTTCCTGAGCTTGTTCTGGACTGGCCACCTTACCAGTCCCAATGGCCCATACAGGCTCATAAGCAACAACTATTTTATCCCAGCTTGGTACTGCGTCTGTGCACAGCAGACATATTAGTGTTATACAAAGGATAAGCTATTCATCTTGACTGCAGAATCATTAAAAAGAAGAGTGAAGTTACCAGCAAAAGCCTTCAGTTGCTGAAAGCAGACGTCAAAAGTTTTACCCGCTTCCCTTTCTTCTAGCTTCTCACCGATGCAAGCAATTACTCCAAGGCCCTCACTCAAGGCATAGGCAGCTTTTTTTCCTATAAACTGTAGTTAAACAATTTCAGTTACATTTTGAGTAATTACAGTAGATCAGAAAGTTCATTAATTTTTTTATTCAGGACACCTCCATAAAAGTTTAAACAATAGGTTTGGGCAAGCATTCACCTGATCGTCTTCACCAATCACATGTCTCCGTTCTGAGTGCCCAAGAATAACCCATGTGGCTCCAATATCCTTCAGTTGTTCCACACTGCAAAACCGAAAAGGGTATTTATAGTAATCATGTAAATTCATTAAAGTGAAAGCACGGACAAAAGTGTGCAAATGCATTCATAAGAGAACTCAAAACTTATATATACTACTGCTAGAAGACTTGGATGTTTAAGTCACAATCTTGAAAGGACCACTGACTTCCCTTGAAGTACAAGGACTTAATAACTTTTTTTAATTGAATTCAAATTCAAACAGGACTGGTATAATGTTTAATTGCATTCTATCGAGAAACAGTCTTCCCGACATAATAGTAGAAGAGCTTCGGAGGGGGGCGGAAAAGAAACAGAAACGATGAAACCACTACCCACCAAGTTTAAAATGTCATAACGAGAATGGTCTCCAATCACACAACCAAATATTAATTTCCAATTGCAAAATAAAATTATATGTATATGTGAAGAACAAACTACTACGGAATTTAACAAGGAACAGAAACTAACCTGATTTCTCCCGTGAAGGCCCCACCTTTTCCAACCCAAGAATTTTGACCAGATAATTCAATACAATCTGTTAATGAGCTCTTCACCTGATCTAAGTAAAGAAATGGTGGTGCTACAACAACATCTGTGTACATATTATAAGAAAACTAAAAGTTACAAACATTACAAACTTATAATCTGAAATGAGATTGATACAAACTGACTTTTACATGCAAAGTAACATGTTGGAATTGCCACCCTACATCTATGAACAACACATTTTGGCTCGTTATATATAGTTCCAAGTACCTAAGCTACAATTATATCGCTGCCTTATCTTCTAAAGTAACTTACTTTTCACTTCCATTCATGCAGAGTTATCTTCCCACCCGGACTTTGGTCATTCATCATGTATATGTAGTGACAGGAGTAAAGCAATATTTTAAATCTACTGCAAACTGAAAGATTTATATAAGGAAGATCAAACAGAACATTATCTCACCAACATCCGCTTCCAATTTTGCGCTGTTCAAGTCAGCGACTAGCTTTCTTATGGAGTCTTTTGTGCCATTCTAAAATGAAACAGCAAAAAAGATGAAAATGTCAAAAGACGAATTGAACCATACTAAAAGGGTTTGAAACTTGAATTCCTATACATCTTCAACATCCAACAAAAGAGGCTAAGAAAATAGATTAAACAAATTTTACAAAACAAGTTAGTTATGTATCATTGAAATTAACAATTAAAATACTGGGGCAGCGTTATCGATTGACAGATGGTAGTTTTTTACAGATGCTATCAAGGAATCATGCAAAGAACAAAAACAAAGGTAATGCAAAGCAAATAGAAAATGCAGGAACAGGAGTACTTACACACTTCCAGTTTCCACCAACAAAAAACTGCAAGCAAAATCAAAGATACAAACATTTAGAAAAAATCCGAAAACGATAATCTATAGCATTTCAGAATCCACAAATATGAATAAATTATGAGTACATCTGTGAAAATTCCAGATATTTATAGTGAAGGACAGCTGTATTCTTAGAATAAGGACTAAAATGTACAACATTTCTACAAAAAATCAGCCAAAAATAAGAAATTTCTATCGACTAAGATCGAAGATCCTTCCTTTCAATTCCACATTTTCTCGGAAACCAAACAAAACACAAGGAAACTCGGATAATGAAATCAATTATATACCTTTCCGGTGCCGGCCATGGCGACGACGCCTCTGGAGGCCTTGCGAGAGGAGGAGGAGAGGCGGAGGAGGGAGTGAAGGTGCCGGAAGAGGGATTGGGTGGCGGAGAGAGAGTGAGAGAATTCGAGTTTGCAGCACGACGGACGGAGGCCGGAGTAAGAGGAGAGGGATTTAGGGCCGGAGAGTTGGGAGGCGAGAGATGTGGAGGCCACCGCCATGGATGCTGACTCAGTGAGTTGGGAGCTTCCGAGCTTAGGGTGTTTTGCTTGTTTTTTTTTTTTTTTTTTGGTTTTTTTGGGTAAATGGGTGTTTTGCTTGTTTGGTGCGAGCGAGGTAGTGAGTCAGTGAGCGAGAGAAAGCCTCGCCGCCTGTGGTTGTTAGGTTTTATGGTGACCAGAAAGGGTTGTCAGGATAGGAGCGTTCACGCGGTTGATAGAACGTCAATGCACGCGACCTCATTTTTTTATTTTTATTTTTGGATAATCTCGTTTTACTACCTTAGGCCGTCTCTATCCGAGTGAGGGCCAGATGACTCGTTTTAGTCCTCTGATCCACCAAAAAATTTAAATGAACAGTGCATGGTCATATTTCTTACCGTCTCCAACCGAGGGCCAAGTCAAACATAGTCCTGTCACAAAAATCATCTCCAACCGAGAGTCAAACATAATTTATTATTTTAATTGAATTACTTTGGTTACTTAAATTAAATTTTCTCAATAATTTTATGTTATGATTGTCAATAATTTTCATGTTGTTAAATGTTTTTAAAAATGTTGTTTAAGTTTCATTTGTTAAATTTTTTGGTTAATCTCAATTTACTACCCTGAAGTTTCGTGCTTTTCAACATTTGGTACATAAAATTTTTTTCATCCCAGAGTCATACCTCAATTCTTAATTTTGGGATAGTTTCATACATCTGTTAAGTTTTCAGTTAGAACTTCTGTTAACTGATAACGTGGCGCCCACTTGAACAATAACGGAGCGCCACGTGTCAATATAAGACCACTTCAATATTAAAAAATACAAAAAAAGCCACCCGTCTTCTACCTCCCCCCACCCCTCCCTTCCTTCTTCCCTTTACAACCCGCACCCATTTTCTCTTTTCTCTCTTCTGCACCTGCAACACCCTTTTCGGCTCCCCAGTTTCTCTCCCCCATTTTTATCCCCCCTTCTCCACAACCACCACCTCCTTAACGATTCATCTCCTAACCCCCACCCTCCTTTTCCTCCTCCTTATCCTACACCCTAACCCAAACCCCCACACCCTTCCCTCCATTCTCTCCATTCCTCCTTATCCTACGTTCTCAAATAACAAATATATCCTCGCGAGCACAATCTTTCTCGGTTTGAATTGAAACCCCTAAAACCACTCTTGCTTAAACCCTAACAAGAAACTCATTCTCCCCTTGCGCACACCACTGAGCTACCCTGCCAGCATCTTTAGAACTTGATCTGATAAAAAAAAACCCTCCCATCTTCTCGCACTCTCCTGCGTCTCTCTGCATCTCTCTCATCGGATCTCAGGTAACGATTTGATTTTACATTTTGATTTTCTCCCTCGTAATTTTTTGCTTTGATGGGTGGTTTAAATTTTCAATTTCTTCAATGGAAGACGAAGGCATTTTAGTATCAGTACAATTGTTTGGGCTTTTGTTTGAATTTCTACCCAAACATGGAAGGGGTGTGGGTTGCAGAGAGGGAAGAAGGAAGGGAGGGGGCACGTGGGCGCCACATCATTAATTAACAGAATTTCTAACAGAAAATTAAACGGATGTATGAAATTGTCCCAAAATTAAAACTTGAGGTATGAGTCTGAGATAAAAAAACTTCATGTACAAAATGTTGAAAACCATGAAACTTCAAGGTAGTAAACTGAGATTAACTCTAAATTTTTTTTATGTTGTTTAATGTTATTTAACCTTGTTTCATGTTACTTAATGTAAAAAAAAAATATCAAATATGATGTCAGCATGTGGCCTGGCTAGGGGTTGGCTGACTGACTCATTTGGGCTGCTTGGTTGGCCTTGTGGCCTTTTTTTGTCCAGTGGGGTCCACGAGCCATTTGGCCTGACCCTCGGTTGAAAACGATTTTCAGGCTATTTTTAGCCATTTGGCCCTCTGGACCTTTCGGTTGGAAATGGTCTTACCTTCAAGTTTATCAAAAAGGCAATCTGTGATATTATGTGCTTGTGCAAAATTTATAAAGGGCCCTTCTTATAAAACATCTTAATGTTGTAAAATTATGAGGATGAATGAATGCCCACAATAAAGGAGACTTAGGAATAGTAGGGAATAGTAGTGAATAATAGGGAATAGTTTGTTATGTGGTGCTTTTTCAAAAGTGTAATGTCACGAGCGTTGTTTGATTTGTCACCGATGTGGCTCTATAAATAGAGCATTCTGTGTGTGATCAATACACAGTAGCTGAAAGTAATAATATCAGTATCTCTTCCTTCCTCTTTTTATCTTCAATCATTTTGTGTTATAGTTACGAAACAAAACAATGTAATATTTTGTACCCGTTTCGCTCATGTCCTTAGCAAAGGTTATCTCTCTAACTTTTGCCTATTTATAACACGTTTTCAGCACGACTCTCTAACCTTAACTAGTTTTCATCTCCCTTCGCCGAAAAAATGCTTCCTCCAAGGATTTTCATGTTCTTCTTCCTCATTTACCTCACCTGCCTAATGTACCTTCATGAAGAATTGCTACCACCATGCTTGCTTCTAGTTCTCAATATAACAATTACTTATATCTTTGATTTCTTATTTGGTGTAGCTCCTGATTATTAATCCATTGTTTATTTATGTTAATTTTATTACGATCGAAGATGGTGCGGTATCATCACCCATCTTAAATTGCAGATTTAATTTTACTGCAATTTTAAGTGGTACGGTACAATCGCCAATCTTATGTTATATTGTTTCAATGAGAGTGATACGGTACAATCGCCCTCCTCATTAATCATGTAAGTCTCGAGCCTGAAGTTTCGAGTGCTTATCATTTTGGCCTGAAAATCAAAATGAAAAATTTGTAAGAATCAAAAGTTCTAACACTACATTCCTCTAGAATACATATTATTGCAAGTTCTTACACATCTTTTTTTTTTCAGAAAAGAAAACAAAATGGTGAACTTGGCAAAGCTTGATTTTGTTGCCCTGGATATTACTAGAAAGAACTACCTTACCTGGGTAGTTGATGCCAATATCCATCTGGAGGCATAGAATTTTGGAGAAACCATCAAGGTGGAGAATAGTGCATCCTCTCAAGATCGGGTGAAGACCATGATCTTTATTCATCGCCACCTTAATGAAGGATTGAAGAATGAGTACCTAACGGTTGAAGATCCATTAGCCATCTAGAAGACACTGAGAAATATATATAATCACCATAAAACGGTGATTTTTCCAATGGCTGGTTATGAGTGGACACATCTAAGGATCCAGGATTTCAAATTGGTGGCTAAGTACAATTCTGCAATGTTCATAATTAGCTTTGTGGGGAAACCATCATTGAGGAAGATATGCTGAAAAAGACTTTCAGCACCTTTCATGCCTCTAACGTGCTCCTACAGCAGCAGCGTATAGAGCGAAGCTTTATTGAGTGGCTGAACAAAACACTGAGCTTCTGATGAAGAATCATCAGTCCCGACCTACTGGATCAGCACCATTCCCATAAATGAATGTTGTTTCCCTTGAAGTGAATACCACATCCTCTCGTGGCAATAATTACAAATGAGAATGTGGCAACAAGTGATGTCGGTGGAACAAGAAAGGCAATAATTATGATGTCAAGTTTCATAACTAGGTTCCAAGGCATAATTCAGAACCGAGCTTCAAGAATGCGAGTCGCCACAAAGGCAAAGCTCATATGAATAACACTCCTACAAATCCTAAAAGAGTTTCCCATAGGTGTGGTGGCAATGGACACTGGGCGTATACCTGTCGTACCCTAAAACATCTGGTGGACCTGTATCAAACCTTCCTCAAAGAGAAGGGTGTCGAAACCAATTTCCTCTACCAGGCTAAACCAATGGATATATCTAATCCAATGTTCGATTTATCAGGGCAATTGAACACAACCCACCTGAATGTCTCAGACTTCATTGTGGAAATAGAGAATAAAATGTATCGGTCTGATTGAATCATTTCTGTTTGATGTACTATTATTATTTGAATTTGTAGTTTCAAGCTCGCATTTCAATTCAATAAAAGTGGCATTTCAATTTCCTTTTATTATGAATAAACTGTGGTTCCCTTACTCAGAAAGCATGGATAAAAACTATGGTTATTCTCAAAACAAGAGTAATGACGGAGATACTTATCTTGCAGATAGCATAACCATGCATAAAATACTTCGAGATAGAAAATATATCTTAAGCTTGATGCTTACAAAAGTAAAGGTAACAACAATATCAGGCCAATTAGATGTAATTGAAGGCTCAGGAAAAGCCCAGATCATGTTACCAAATAGAACAATATTGTCCATACAAAATGCGTTGTCGTTACTCGATCTACTCAAAATTTGTTGAGTTTTAAAGACATACGTTTAAATTGATATCACATTGAAACGAAAAGTGCAGAAAATGTGGAATATCATACGCTTGATATTCTTTAAACCTTCTTTTCAGTGAACCAATAACTTGATCTATTACATATAAGAAGTTATGAGCCCTAAAAGATTCCGCCGCTGATTGTTCAGTTAATTGGGATGATTCATCATCATTCTCATCAAGGTGTCTCTTTATACGAACTTAATGCTTTTCTGGAATCAATCACAGAATCAATTTCCATTTCAATAACAAGTTTTTTAGCATTAATCATGGCCTCCACAAACCCAGTTTCTCTGTACTTTTCAAAATAAACAATCAATCCTTGTTCTTGTTCTATATCAACATCAATACGCATATCTTTAGATTGTAAATCTTTGTTAACCTCATTAACAGCAGCCAATATTTTATATCGAATAGTCATGCATAGTAGCAACTAAAAATTCCCAATGTCATCTGTTGCCAAAGATTTAGCTACACTTCTTGTTACTAAGTCATTGTCACTTTCTACTAATTAGAGTAAAGATTTTTTATATTTGTAGACGTTGGGATTGAATTGCTTTAACACTTGCAACACAGCTTTCCCATCGTGTGGCCGACAATAATTTGAGAGTTGGTCCTTTTATATTTTCTTTCAGAATTAACCATCGGTTTGTAGAATTCATGAACAAGCTGTAAATACGTTGCACTGTTCCAAATAAGTTTTTTGCTTTGCCACAAGAGTTTGCTATATTACAAAGTGTTAAGATAAAGACTATGACAACCACATGGAGTGTACATTGCTTAGGATTTA